CTCTGATTGAGAACCACACCGGCCAACATAGATGTAGACATACTAGATTCTACAACAATGAACAAACACAACAAGGAAAATCACACCCTGAATCAACAAATAAGAGTCCTCAGAGTCAGGGCGTGACAGGATGGGTGGATGATTTGGACATAATTCCTCACCCTTTTCATGTCCTCAATGTAGGCCTATCAGAGAACCTTCTTTGAATTTACACATCATTCACTTGGGTATTCAAACCATTCCTCTCTATTCTGTCTTTTCTCCATTATTCATATGAGAATCACCTCTCTCCATAAATACAGTTGAAGTCGGAAGTTTACATACACTTAGGTTGGAGTCATTAAAACTCGTTTTCAACCACTCCACAAATTTCTTGTTAACAAACTATAGTTTTGTCAAGTCGGTTAGGACATCTACTTTGTGCATGACACAAGTGATTTTCCAACAATTGTTTACAGACAGCTTATTTCACTTATAATTCTCTGTTTCACAATTCCAGTGGGTCAGAAGTTTACATACACTAAGTTGACTGTGCCTTTAAACAGCTTGGAAAATTCCAGAAAATGATGTCATGGCTTTAGAAGCTTCTGATAGGCTAATTGACATCATTTGAGTCAATTGGAGGTGTACCTGTGGATGTATTTCAAGGCCTACCTTCAAACTCAGTGCCTCTTTGCTTGACATCATGGGAAAATCAAAAGAAATCAGCCAAGACGTCAGAAAAAAATTGTAGACCACAAGTCTAGTTCATCCTTGGGAGCAATTTCCAAACGCCTGAAGGTACCACGTTCATCTGTACAAACAATAGTACGCAAGTATAAACACCATGGGACCATGCAGCCGTCATACCGCTCAGGAAGGAGACGCGTTCTGTCTCCTAGAGATGAACGTACTTTGATGCGAAAAGTGCAAATCGATCCCAGAACAACAGCAAAGGACCTTGTGAAGATGCTGGAGGAAACAGGTACAAAAGTATCTATATCCACAGTAAAACGAGTCCTATATCGACATAACCTGAAAGGCCGCTCAGCAAGGAAGAAGCCACTGCTCCAAAACCGCCATAAAAAAGCCAGACTACGGTTTGCAACTGCACATGGGGACAAAGATCTTACTTTTTGGAGAAATGTCCTCTGGTCTGATGAAACAAAAATAGAACTGTTTGGCCATAATGACTATCGTTATGTTTGGAGGAAAAAGGGGGTTGCTTGCAAGCCGAAGAACACCATCCCAACCGTGAAGCACGGGGGTGGCAGCATCATGCTGTGGGGGTGCTTTGCTGCAGGAGGGACTGGTGCACTTCACAAAATAGATGGCATCATGAGGAAGGAAAATTATGTGGATATATTGAAGCAACATCTCAAGACATCAGTCAGGAAGTTAAAGCTTGGTCGCAAATGGGTCTTCCAAATGGACAATGACCCCAAGCATACTTCCAAAGTTGTGGCAAAATGGCTTAAGGACAACAAAGTCAAGGTATTGGAGTGGCCATCACAAAGCCCTGACCTCAATCCTATAGAACATTTGTGGGCAGAACTGAAAAGGCGTGTGCAAGCAAGGAGGCCTACAAACCTGACTCAGTTACACCAGCTCTGTCAGGAGGAATGGGCCAAAATTCACCCAACTTATTGTGGGAAGCTTGTGGAAGGCTACCCGAAACGTTTGACCCAAGTTAAACAATTTTAAAGGCAATGCTACCAAATACTAATTGAGTGTATGTAAACTTCTGACCCACTGGGAATGTGATGAAAGAAATAAAAGCTGAAATAAATCATTCTCTCTACTATTATTCTGACATTTCACATTCTTAAAATAAAGTGGTGATCCTAACTGACCTAAGACAGGGAATTTTTACTAGGATTAAATGTCAGGACTGAGTTAAATGTGTTTGGCTAAGGTTTATGTAAACTTCCGACTTCAACTGTGTATGTTATTACATTTATAGTTTAAAATGTTAATTCCTTCTAGCTGAATTGAGGCTACAAAATCCTCAAAAGTTGCACTATTATTGTACTGTTATATTCTCCTAAAAGAAGAACAGAACCTTTATGGACAGCTCTAACAACTATTTGAAGCTCCTCAGGAGTGAATGTAACATTGTGTGTTCTCATGAATTCTGGGTAATCATATAGTTGTCCATCATTATTCAATAATTGTTTAACCCAGATAATACTGTTGTCAAACCAACTCTGGAAAACAAAGACTTGTTTTTGTATTTTGTCTTTATTATTCCAGATTGTATATTTATGTGGGGAAAAGTTTGTACATGAGGTTCCAAGTTAGAAGTACTTTTTTATGAAAGTTAGCAAGCTCAATAGGGATCTTACCCATATCAGAGTTGCATTTGAGTAAGAACTCTAGACCACCAATCTGTTGGAATATTAAATTAGGCATTATATTCCAAATGCAATCCTTATTTCTTAAATAGTTTTGTATCCATTTGATCTTATATATTATATATCTTAAGATTATATTAGAGGTTTTAAAATTCAGAGCATTCAACCCTCCCACACTTTGGGTGCTACATATTACTGCTTTTATTAAATAATTAGGTTTATTCCTCCATATGAAGTTAAATACTTTAGTATCAACCATTTTAGTTACTGACAGAGGAACATCCAAGGCAAGGGAGGTGCAGATAAACACGTCTAGATAAAGAAAGATCTCTTAATAATCAGGAGTTAAATCTCTTTCCAATTTTCTCTACAATAGGAAAGACATTTAAGTTGGCCCTTTCTTTTTGATCTTTGCAAACTTGAATGCCAAGATATGTGATCATGTATTTTACAGGGATATTACATATTGAGTTTAAGTCACATCTTTTCAATGCAAATAATTCACATTTCCTAATATTCAGAGATAAACCAGATAAATGTGAGAAGGCATTAATACACTTAATAGCTTTCCTGACTTCATTATGATCGTTCAAAAAAATGGTGGTGTCGTCAGCCAATTGTGAACATTTGATCTCTTTATCTTGTATCTGAATACCCCTAAAACTATCCTTATTGATATGAAATGCCATAACTGAAAAATAAGAAAGGAGAAATTAGGCATCCTTGTTTATTCTGCATCTAATATCGAATCTCTGTGAAGTTCCAGGCGGCAGGTAGCTTAGTGGTTAACAGCGTTGTGCCAGTAACCGAAAGGTCGCTAGTTCTAATCCCCGAGCCGACTAGGTGAAAAATCTGTCGATGTGCCCTTGAGCAAGGCACTTAACCCTAATTGCTCCTGTAAGTCGCTCTGGATAAGAGCGACTGTAAATGTAAAAATGTTCCATGGGATAATTTAACAGAGCAATTACTATTATTATAAAGTGTCTTAATTACACTTCGAAAATATTGATCAAAACCAAAAAAACAAAGTCTCAAAAAGAAAAAAGTGTCAAAATCCCTCCTGAGATGTGTGTAAACCTGGTGGCCAACTACAAGAAACGTCTGACCTCTGTGATTGCCAACAAGGGTTTTGCCACCAAGTACTAAGTCATGTTTTGCAGAGGGGTCAAATATTTATTTCCCTCATTAAAATGCAAATCAATTTATAACATTTTTGACATGCGTTTTTCTGGATTTTTTTGTTGTTATTCTGTCTCTCACTGTTCAAATTAACCTACCATTAAAATTATAGACTGATCATTTCTTTGTCAGTGGGCAAACGTACAAAATTAGCAGGGGATCAAATACTTTTTTCCCTCACTGTATACTGTATGTCTGCCCTTCATAAAACCAGACTGGGTATGATCAATGATTTGGTCAAGACCGTTTTGTAAGTATTTCTGCAAAGATGGATGCAAGTAGCTTTCCATCATCGTTCATTAATTGTGATTGTTCTCCAATCTTTGTTTGGTTTGGGGATTACAGAAATGAGGCCTTTTGTCATATAAACAGGCAGGACCCCTAAATCAATTGCCTCCTTAAAGACATTCAATATAAATTCAGCAATATCCTCCTGAAAATACTTAATTCCCAATATTTCCCATAAGACTTAAATAGTTGGGCTTTCCTCAAATGTTCTTGTATAATATCTTTGGCATCCATCTTGAAACTATCATCTTCCAACAGTCTACTATTGAGTTTCCAATAACTCCGATTTGTTTTATTAACTTCTGCACCATTCATATTTAAAGATAAGAATATATCTCTATGATCAGTAAGAATTAATGGTTCAATGGATACCTTGACTACAGTGTTATCTAATTAATTAAAAATCAACCAGAAGTCAATTCTTGGCTGTCTGGACATGTCCTTGATACCTCAAGTGAAGTCCTTTTTATCAGGATATTTAGATCTCTAAATATCGAATAATCCAAGACATAGATTATTAAACTCATTAACAATGCTGGATCTATTAGGAGGGGGATATCTGTCAATCATCACATTAGACACATAATTAAAATCCCCACCTAAGATAATTTTGATATTCTGAAATACACCTTTAACTCTATTAATCTCTTCTTCAAATTCTCGAAATAATATCCTGTTGTTTTGTTTGTTGCTGGATGCATAGATATTCCCTAATAAAAAAAAATCACTGTTCAAATTCACTGTTAAAATTAACCAACGTCCAGAGTGGTGAGTCTTACTACTGATGACGTTCCCTTTAAATACAGCTCTTAAAACTGCTACACCTGCAGAGTGGTTGTTGCCATATGATAACCAGATATCATTACCCCATTGATTTTTCCAAAAAGCTAGATCGGAAGAACAAGCATAAGTCTCTTGTAGAAAGTAAAAGTCTGCATTAAACAATACATACATAGCTTTACGTTTGAGTAAATCACAAATACCCCTGACATTAATTGAACAAAGAGATAAAGACATAAACATCAACCAACAACCTTGTTATGCTAATATAAGCTATGTAACTCAAAATAATACTGGTCATAAAGTTACCAAAGTATTCTTACTCCCACAAGGGAGTAGCTAGAAAGGCTGCTTTTCACCTGGCAATTAGGCAGTGTTTAGGCCTACCAGTTCTGTCCCGAGTTAGACTCTGGCTCTCTCTCAAATGTTCTGATTTGGCCGCATTTCTTTCCCATCGATGATCACTCTTGCACCTACAAAGAATGCCGCTTTCCCTGCCTTTCGAGCTGCTGCCACCATCGGCCAAAGTTTCTCCCGTGGCACTTTGTCCGCAGAGGTCAGCTCCTCCGTGAACCAACATTTTTGCTTGATGAGGAACTCACAGTTCTTTGCTCGCCTCATGAGAAGAGCCTGTGTAGATCTGTTGGTGAACCGGATGATGGTTGTCCTCGGACTCTTGTCTTGATCCTTGAGTCTTCACAAACGATGAACAATGTCCACATTTTCCTGAAGTTTGGCTTTTGATTCGGGAATGACAGTTCCACAGATGTCCTGTTATGTCGTCACCCGCCTGCTCTGGAATTCCATGGAGCCTCAGGTTCCACCTCATTCATCTTTTGCTCGAGTTCAGCCACCTTCTTTCCATTTTCCTGGCAGATAATATCCACCTTCTTCATGTCAACTTTGAGGGTTTTCACTTCTCCAGAGATAAAGTCAACAGATTTGTTTATGGCGTCAATTTTCATCGTATTCCTCCTAACCATGTACTCCAAGCCATCTGCCCTTTCATCTATTTTTGCTGTCAAAAGCATCACAATATTGTTTTGCATCTCAAGAAGTGACATACCCTCTTGCACTCTCATCTTTTTGCCCTGGGGCTTGACTGGAGTGTCGGGGTTGTAATGTAACGGCCTGAGCTGGGGACTGGATGGGCACAGGTTGTCAGCATTGTTGTAGTACAGCAGTATTTCCCCCCACAGTTACATTCTGAAGAGGAGTACCTAAGACCATACCATATTTTGCTGTTAATTGTCCATCTGATGATTTCTCCATTTATTTTCTTTTGGTTCTGGTCGTGGAAGTTTCCATGTAGACAAGCTAGTTTTTGAGCTAGCTAGCTAATCTGGCTATCTAATGTTGTCGCTAACTTAAGAGTTTTAGATGTGAATAACTTGCAGAAGGTAATCAATTAGTTTGGTTAACAAACTAAACCATATCCATACAGGGTTTTATGACCTTAGAAATGACAAAATGGTCATATTTGGGTGAGGAAATCCAATAATTCCTTCAGCTACCAAAAAACGCATCTGCACTGACCACCATCTTGCGCTTGCCCCTTTTCCAATACTAACTGAATGGTGAATGAATGTATTTACAGTCAATCAATCAATCAATACAGTGTGATTATTATGTCTTCTGTGTAATTCCTCTTTTCCAATACTAACTGAATATTTTGTATGTGAGAATAGAAGTTGTTTCTTAGGGGAAAGGGAAGGGAAATGTTTATTTTCCATTCTGTATATTTGAACAAAATTCAACTTGTTTAAGAACCGGGATAAGCTATACATCTCATTGTGGGGTAGGCCACATGTTATAAAGATGGTTATAGCTCCTAAACTGAATTACGTCATCAGCATGTTTCTACTGTCCATACCTGCCTACACCTTTAACAACATAGACACAATTATTACTCAGTTTATTTGGACTATTAAAAGGGCAAGGATGAACCTAGCTAGATTACAGGTAAAGACTTAGAAGGGAGGATTAAAGCTCCCTAACATGTAATTATATCAAGAAGCCGTTATAACTGCCCAAATAGGCTCTCTTTATTGAGAACTCTAATAGGCCAATTTGGGTTGACATGGAAGAAGAACTTAATGCCCCATTTGGAGCATCATATACTCTGAGTCAACACTTAAATGTGGGACTGCAGAATCCCATAATGTCCAATACTAAGAAATAAATAAGAGAGAGACATCTTCACCTTTCCTGACAAGCTCTGCTTCGTTATGGAACAACCATAAATAAAAATTAGGAGGACAGGTGGTTGTCTGGAAAGAATGGTATAGGTTTTGTTTTTGCCTCAACACTAATACATTTAACTTTTGCTTTTAGCGTCAACTTGAATTTGAGTGTGGCTGTGGAAGACTGGTCCCTTGATGATGTCAGCAAGTGGCTGAGTACCAATGATTTTTATGATTCCATCCCATCATTCCAAGGTTCACAATCTGTCTGAAGAATGCCAACTCTATTCAATTGTACACTTTGCAACAAACATACTTTCTCTGTTTCCAGACTACTCACACATATTGGCCTATATCACCAGCTTGAACAACATTTTCTAATTACCTGTGGACTTAATGGGTGTGGAAAAACAGATATTTCAGGGCCTATCGGTCACACATCTACTGAATCCAGAGAGTGTGATGAGGTGTGAATGAAGGAGTCAGGCGCAGGAGGTAAAACACTGAAGTCCAGAGTTTATTCCGTTTACATAAATAAAACGCACCAAGCGTCAAAACGAAACTATCACAAGGGAAACATTCCACCTTGGCAATAACAAAATGGAAGAGTACCGAGCCACTCACTCTCACAAAGAAACAATCACTCACAAAGACAAGGGGAACAGAGGGAACACTTATACACATACTAATTAGGGGAATGAGCACCAGGTGTGTGTGATTGACAAGACAAGAAATGACAAGTGGAGTGATGAGAATGGGATCGGCAGTAGCTAGTAAGCAGGTGACGACGAACGCCGAAACCTGCCCGAACAAGGAGGGGAGGCAGCCTTGGCGGAAGTCGTGACAGTACCCCACCCCCTTGACGCGCGGCTCAGCAGTGCGCCGACCCCAGGCTCGGGGACGGCCAGGAGGACGCGGAGCAGGGCGAGTCAGATGGCGACGGTGGAAATCCCTCAACAGGGAGGGATCGAGGATGTCCCTCCTTGGGACCCAGCACCGTTCCTCCGGACCATACCCCTCCCACTCCACAAGATACTGAAGGCCCCCCACCCAACGCCTCGAATCCAGTATGGAATGGACCGAGTACGCTGGGGCCCCCTCGATGTCCAGAGGAGGTGAAGGAACCTCCCGCACCTCAGACTCCTGGAGTGGACCAGCTACCACCGGCCTGAGGAGAGACACATGAAACGAGGGGTTAATACGGTAATCAGGGGGGAGTAACAACCTGTATGTAACCTCGTTTATCCTCCTGAGCCCACAAACCGCGGGCTCAGCTTCCGGCAGGGCAGGCGGAGGGGTAGATTCCGGGTCGAGAGCCAGACCCGATCCCCCGGTACGAAAACCGGGGCCTCCCTGCGGTGGCGGTCAGCGTTCGCTTTCTGACGACGCACAGCGCGCTGGAGGCGAACGTGGGCAGTGTCCCAAGTCTCCTCCGCCTGCCGAAACCAGTCATCCACCGCAGGAGCCTCGGTCTGGCTCTGGTGCCACGGTGCCAGGACCGGTTGGTAACCAAAAACACATTGGAAGGGTGTTAGGTTAGTGGAGGAGTGGCGGAGAGAGTTCTGAGTATATTCTGCCCATGGCAGGAACACCGACCACTCCCCCGGCCGGTCCTGACAGTAGGTCCGCAGGAACCTACCCACATCTTGATTCACCCTTTCCACCTGCCCATTACTCTCAGGGTGATATCCAGAGGTCAGGCTGACCGAGACTCCAGACGTTCCATGAACGCCTTCCAGACTCTAGACATGAACTGGGGACCTCGGTTGGACACTATATCCTCTGGTACCCCGTAGTGTCGGAAGACGTGAGTAAACAGAGCCTCCACAGTTTGTAGGGCCGTGGGGAGACCGGGCAGAGGAAGGAGGCGGCAGGACTTCGAAAAGCGATCCACAATGACCAGGATAGTGGTGTTACCTTGGGAGAGGCGAAGATCAGTAAGAAAATCAATACTAAGGTGAGACCATGGTCATTGTGGAACTGGTAAAGGTTGTAGCTTACCCGCTGGGAGGTGCCTAGGTGCCTTACTCTGGGCGCACACTGAGCAGGAGGAAACATACACCCTCACGTCCTTAGCCAAGGTAGGCCACCAGTACTTTTCGGTCAGGCAGCGCATTGTACGACCGATACCTGGATGACCAGAGGAGGGTGATGTGTGTGCCCAGTAGATCAGACGATCACGGATAAGCGCAGGCACGTACTGCAGCCCAGCTGGAAACTGCGGTGGAGATGGATCTGTGCATAATGCCTGCGCTATATCTGCGTCCATCGCCCATACTACCGGCGCCACAATGCATGAGGCCGGGAGTATGGGGGTGTTGTCTCTGGGCCTCTCCTCTGTGTCATACAGCCGAGACAGTGCGTCTGCCTTCACGTTCTTCGTACCCGGAATGTATGAGAGTGTGAAATCAAACCGGGTGAAGAAGAGGGCCCACCTGGCCTGGCGAGGATTCAGCCTCCTTGCTGCCCGAATTTACTCCAGGTTACGGTGGTCTGTCCAGACGAGGAAAGGGTGTTTCGCCCCTTCGAGCCAATGCATCCACACCGTCAATGCTCGGACAACAGCCAGCAGCTCCCGATCACCAACACCGTAGTTCTGCTCTGCCGAGCTTCTTCGAAAAGAAGGCACAGGGGCGGAGCTTGGGTGGCGTGCCCGAGCGTTGGGATAAGACAGCGCCTATCCCTACCTCGGACGCATCCACCTTCACTACGAACGGTAGTGATGGATCGGGGTGAGCCAGTACCGGGGCAGAGGTGAACAGACCCCGCAATCTACTGAAGGCCAAATCAGCCTCAGCAGACCAGCGGAGCCGGGACGGCCCACCCTTCAACAAGGAGAGCTGCGACCTTGCCAAAGCCACGAATAAACCTCCAATAGTAGTTGACAAAGCCAAGGAAGCGCTGCACCTCCTTCACAGTGGTTGGAGTCGGCCAATTACGCACGGCTGAAATGCGATCTCCCTCCATCTCCACACCTGTGGTAGTAATGCGGTATCCGAGGAAGGAGATTGACTGCTGGAAAAACTCACTTCTCTGCCTTGGCATAAAGATCATTTTCCAGCAGTCGGACCAGTACCTTGCGAACCAGGGACACATGCTCGGCGCGCGTAGGGGAATACACCAGGATGTCATCGATGTAGACCACCACACCGCGACCAAGCATGTCCCGAAACACCTCATTCACAAAGGACTGGAAAACGGATGGAGCATTCATGAAACCGTAGGGCATCACCAGGTATTCATAATGCCCCTGCTGTTTTCCACTCATCCCCTTCCCGAATACGCACCAGGTTGTAGGCACTCCTGAGGTCTAATTTGGTGAAAAAACGGGCCCCATGCATTGACTCAATCACTGAAGGAATGAGGGGAAGAGGATAACTAAATCGTACCGTCACCTTATTCAGTGGTCAATAATCAATGCACGGGCGTAAACTGCCATCTTTCTTCTTCACAAAGAAGAAACTCGAGGAAGCAGGTGAAGTGGAGGGACGTATATACCCCTGGTGCAGGTACTCCGTGACGTATATTTCCATAGCCTCCGTCTCAGCCTGCGACAGGGGATACACATGACTCCTGGGAGGTACAGCGTCTACCCGAAGGTTTATCGCGCAATCCCCCTCCCGATGAGGTGGTAATTTAGTCGCTT